TATCACACCATTATCTTTCTTTTCTTTTTTTAACCAGGTAGGGCAGAATATCAGTCTATATATTCTCCAGTTTATGGGATATTTCAAGTGATGCATCTGATCATAGCCATTGACACAGAAGGCAGTTTCTGAACTAGGAAAATAGTAGCCTGTAAATGCTTACGCTTGGGAAATAGTATGGTATCAAAGACCCTGACACAATAAGACACAGAAACAAAAGTTCATAACGTTGGCTATTTCAATATTTTCCAAAATTCTCATACGACACATTTCAAGGCAGCACTTACCCTTTTACTTCATTAGACTGTTGCGGGGGGCAGGGACTGTGACCCTTCTCCTGTTGCTAGAGGCCATCTCCCATCAGCACCAACCAGTATGGTCGATATCAGGAATGATGGGAGTTGTAGTCCAGAAATATCTGGAGGGCCACAGTAGGTTTCCCAACCCTGATCTAGGGTGGGCAGATGGAATGCAGGAAACACCTTCCATACCAAATGCGTAGGAGAGAGTCTGCTGTTTACTATGCAGGGTTGAGAAAACATTGATATTCACTATTTACAGATACATTATGGGTATGGTAGACCTGGCTCATTGCAGCTGGTCACCTTAGTTATGATGGCTTGGAAAATGTTAAGATATCCGTTCATTTCTTCTGAGGTCCTATCATTCCTAAAGTAGATGAATAATTATTGCACAAGCAAAAGAGGGAGAAGCAACTCATGCATGGTCACAAGGCTCTTCTACTTTGTATGTGCATCACCTAACTCTGTCAATTAAAAAAGAAATCAGAATATTGTTTGGTAAAACTGTAAATAGTGAATCCCACAGAAAAGCAGTAAGGCAGATTGATTTAACTCGAGCAACGTAGAACAAAAGTGCACGATTGTACTTTACTAGGGACAACACACTCACTAGATGGGACAAAATTGGACATATTTGAAGAGCTGGATTCTTGATTTAGAGTAGGATAAGAATATTTTCCTGTACGTGATTTATGAGGGTTTTTTCTGTTTTTGTGGCCTGCTGCTTGAGGAAAATTGCTATCTGCTTTTGATTATTTCAGGCTGCTGGCTGTCAGAGTTAATTTATTTGTCAATCAGTTCTGATGCTGCTGGGTGGTTACTGTGAAACTAATTATTGTCAGGAAGCTCATGGGATTCCACAAAGACACGTTTTTTCAATGTCACTTTAAAAAAAAGCAGAAGCAGCATATAGACAAGATTGAACCTGGCCACACACAGTATGGAAGGGAAAATATGCCATGCATTCTTGATTGCTCTCTTATTAATTATTTGGATTTTCTTAGAGAATGTCATCTGAAGAGTGTGTGTGTGTGTGTGTGCGCACGCTTGCATGCACATGTGTGTTGAGGGAGGGAATCTGCATTTGAATATAAGGCACCATCTTCCATATGGTGATACTGAAGGGCTAAATATGTGTGTCAAGATCACCTTCGTCCTTTGTAGCTTGCACTAGTCTGTGTTTCCATTCTGCCTGTCTGCACCAGCCTATGATATGAACCAGGCATAGGCAAGCTCGGCCCTCCAGATGTTTTGGGACTACAACTCCCATCATCCCTAGCTAACAGGACCAGTGGTCAGGGATGATGGGAGTTGCAGTCCCAAAACATCTGGAGGGCTGAGTTTGCCTATGCCTATTATGAACCATACAAGCACAGAGTAACATGGTCACAGTGCAAACTGAGGTACCTCAGAGCAGCATATACCAGATCTAGCATCAACACCTGACATCCTTGGGCAGAGGCTGGGGCTGCTGCTATCTGCCCCAGACACCACTTTTCCAGTACCCCTGTGTGTACTGTGGCGGCTTAGAGCGTCGTTTAAATTTCCTACAGTGCCCTGGAGTGCTCCTGATACAGCGTTGGTATAGTGCACTATGAAAAATTTAAATGGTTCGGTCATTCAATCAATCTTTCCATGGAAAAAAGTCCTGAAGCGAATTACAGCCAAAGTAAAAAATACAATAAAAACCACATAAACGTTATTAAAAGCAGATTTAACAGTGCAATATAATGTAACGGGTTTTGCCCAAGTTATCTGGAAAAGCAAAGACATTTTTGGTGCCAAATCAATGGCAAGATTGGTGCTAGGCGGGGCTCCCTAAGGAGATTATTACACAAAGAGGCTACTACAGGGAAGGTCTGTTCTCTTGTTGACACCTTCCAGACCTCCCTCAGAGGTGACACACACAGAGAAAGTCCTCAGATTATGATCTTGGGGTCTGGGCAAGTTCTTATGGCAGTCCTTTTCATATAGAGGTATAACGTTTTAAATGTCAAAAAGGGCTTTGAATTGGGCCCAGAAACAAAACGGTAGCCTGTATAGTTGGGCCAAAATCGGTGTTCTATGTTCACACCTTCTTTTTCCAGCTAATAATCTAGGCACTGTATTCTGCACTAGATGGAGTTTCCAAACACAGCCCCATATATAACACATTGCAGTAGTCTAACCCAGAGGTTACCAGAGCATAGACGACAAAAGCTTGACTATCCCAGCCAAAATAGAGTTGCAGCTGGGCTGCAACCCAATAAAGATGGTAGAATGCATTCCATGTCACTGAGGAACCCTTGTGTTGAATCCAGGAATACATCAAAGATGCATACCTGCTCCTTCATGTTGAGTGTAACCCCACCGAGAACAGAATGCCTTCCTCTCGAGTGGATAGAGGAACCACCCACTCACAGTGTCTCAGTCCTATCTGAATTGAGCACTGCAGTGGGTCAGAGGTGGAACTCATCAGAACATTGCTACTGCTCCCCTCTTCACCACCACCTGTTGCCACGTTAAGTCATGGAGGGGAGCACCAACATAGGAAGGAGACCACCAAAGGAGGACACCATGCTAAGAAAGCCTTCAGAACTAGTGCCAGCCTTATGAAGGTTCCAACAATCCCAGATTCCTTGTATTCCAGTTTAGCACACAAGCCTTGAACTGAGAGCCAGGCAGCTGTCTTCTTTATGCAGGAACTGCAGCATCTCCTTAATCACATTTACACTGCCAATCCATTGTTGAAATGTTCTTACAAATCACATCAAGCTCCCCCACAGCTTTTCATTCCAGGCATGCTAGTGTTTCTGCTTGCATATGATATCCATATCGATCTATGTAATCAACAGTCCCTTGCCTATCTCTCTCTAGAAAAGGCTCGGTTATCTCTAGCTGCTGTTTATTGTTCTATTGAGCCAAAGCTAGGGGTGGGTTTATTAATTAAGGAAAGGGTGACCCTCTGAGTTGCTGACACTGGCCTTCTAAAGTGATCATGTGTGTTACTGTATGCATATTGCACCGAGATCAATACAGTATTCTCCCCAATTCACCCGTGAAGCCTTTAAAACCACTGAACTGGAATTATTAATCCTGCAGAGCATATAAAACCCTGAGAATTTCACCACCACTTTGCAAAACAGAGGAAACAGCTGTCCTGACCTAGGAACTGACTATGTAAATAATCTCTTTTGCATGCATTTAAGCAGCTCTGCACATGCAATCAATCAAGAAGTTAAGGTGCTTGTTTTACAGGCACCTGCCCCATAAAGCCAATGCATTTATTACTTATTCAGTTCCTTATCTGCTTTGACCATTAGGCCCAGGGCAACGAACATTTGTTTAAAAATACCAGCAATGCAACTTGTGTGCAAATTTAACATGTGCCAGTACTATCAGAAAGAGCCATAGCTATGGAGGGGGGGTCCCTAACTGCCTCCCCCCCCCCAGTGAAGCCTTCAGAGAGGCGCCATTAAGGCTGCCAGCCTGTATGTATCTGTGTGCAAATGTGTATGGGGTGTGTGTGCTAAACTGGGTCTTTAACCCTGGGTGAAATAAAACCTAGTTTCACCCCTATCAGGGGATGTGTCAGAGCTTCTGCTACCAAAATCAAACACTTACTGGAGCTGACACAATCTCCAGGATCTTCTATTATTTCTCTACCATCACTACAGTGGAGACAGAGGACTGGCCAATACACGGCCTTCTCAGATCCTTCCCACCTCCTTAGGATGAGTTTTCCCTCCCAAGTAGTAAAGTTGAGCTCTGCTTACCATGCATCTGGTTAGCCCATCGCAGGGAGAGGTCCACCTAATATCTCCCTTCGGACACCAGTGCCAAAGGGCTTAAACCAACTTCTTTATGAAGCTGAGTGGTCCCGGTTGTAATCAGCTGCCAATATTCCCAGAGCAACAGAAGTCAATTATGCATCAAGGTCAATTATGTTCTCACATACTCAGGATCACTTCATCCCTTACATCACTGTGCCCTGCAAGAGAAGGCCTTCTTATCTTATCAGGAGGTCCCTTCAGCATAATGTCAGAATTGAGCCTTGAGTGAACAAGTCTTCTAAATGGATATTTTTTATCCATGTCAGAATCTATATTAAGCGATGAAATTGTTTGTATTGATGCCAACAGGATCATAGGAACTAATTCATAAATGAAACAACATCACCTTCTTTTCTTGCTCTCCTACCCCTGGCTTCTGATCCCTCGGCCCAATCCTCGTTTCATACGTCTGCATTTTGCTGCTTTCAATTATTAGCACCTCCATCCACTCTGGCAGCTCCCCCAGATTTGAACCCTGTTGGATCAATAGGAACAAATCCAGCTCGGACCTGGATGAAATCACTTTTCAGAACATATTTTGTTCTGGGCTGTGCATATTGTGTTTGGGCACATATACTTCATATAACATGCACATGCTGCATCCTTTATGAAGGGTGCACACATTTTCAAATGAAACTTGTGTTTTTAAAATACAAGTTAATGTGCTGAAGCATTCCCACTCATCAGAATTACAACCTGAATAGTCCGGTATAGCGAGAGATTCCAAAGCTGTGCATCCTGAGTAACCAGGAAACGGCATACCTTGTCAGTAACAGGTGCCCCCTTCTAAAGGGCATTTTTACCCGTAATTGCTGCCATCGTTTTTAAATGGGTTTTTTGTGTTGTATATTTTACATACTTTTATTCAGTGCTTTTTTTTTTCTCTAAAAAAATGTTTAGGGGTACTTTCATTTTGACTCAAGAAAATCATCATTTTATAGTTCAAATCGGGAAAAATAAATACAGTAAATGGACAAAAGTACAAAGCGTCACAAAATGTTTAGGGGTATGTGTCCCCCTGCGTCCCCCTAGAAGAAAAAGCACTGCTTTTATTGTTCTATTATTTGTTCCTCCCTATATTTTTAATGTCCTGAGTGGTGCATAGGTGTTAGAAGGGTGGTATAGATTTAAAAACAAAACAAGCAAACAAATAATATATCAGATCACAATGACGGCTGATCATATTTAATTAAGCTTTTATAATTAATGGCTATACTTAAACCATTTTTTTCATTTCAGTATGCAGCCTAATTAAGATAAGCATCACATTTTAAACTATTGCAGACATTGTAGGAATTATTCTGTGTATTTCACTGTACCTGTACAAACTGTGAAGTCAAGTAAGTTAAATTAGGGTGCTTGCATTTAAGCTGATGTAGTTCAGCAAGGGCAGGGAAGTGGTGGGGGTGGGGAAGGGCCTGCCCTATACACTGCCAATTCCTATTTGCTGCTATAACACTAACCTGGGAGTGCAGCAACAGCTGTTTCATTTGTGGGTTGACAACAAATTATAAAGAATGCATAAAGGAGGGAGCATCTCCAGTAGGCAATTTTAGCTGTCTGAGACTGTGTATGTATTGTAGATATATACTACCCTCTGGTGGCAATAAAAGAAAATAGCCACCACAATAGCCTATACTGTACTTAATAATTCTGAAGAACCAAAAAACCCACCACTGCAAAGATAACTAATCTGATCAGTCTGTTCCTCAAATAATGGTGCTTTCTTTCTTGGCTGGTTAGAAAGAAAGGCTTGGTAAAGGTCAGATGTTTTAAAACTGAAATGAGCTTTAAATGAATGAACCGGGATACCCTTGAATTTAATGGTGCCCTGCTAAAAAAGAAGAAAAAAGAAAAGATAAACTAAACTGAAGTATATTTTGATATATTCGCTTTCAAAGACTTGGGATGCATTCCAAAAGATCTTGAGTCCAGATGTCACTCATTATCATCACATATTTATATGCTGAACGTATGATATCTATGTGGCAATTATGAAGTGCTGTGGGAAAAGCGTTTGGCTAGATATTTAGATATGGTGAGTAAATACCACTGTCCTTTCATATGCAGATACTGTTCAGTTATTCAGTGGAGTGCAGCCTCTCTTCCTTCAGTACTTACTAATTAGACGGTTTTTAATTAAACTGGCAACAAGCCATAGAGAAGCCACATTTCAGAATGTGAAATATGATCTATTTCACAAGCGTATAAGGGCTTTTCTTAAACTTTAAAGATGGGTAATATTCTACTGATTGACTAATTACCAAGTAAGACAGTTAGGACTATAAATGTGGTTAGTCCAAATGTTGTACTGGACCCTTAGGGTGAAGGGAAAGTAATAATTGAAAATAACAACAACAGCTTTTGTATAGCATGTTTAGTATTAGATGTTCAACCAGTTCTGCACAGGGCATCTCATCTTCTGGACAGGGTTCCTACAAACCTGAAGGAGTTCTAGAGGAGCAAGTGGCTTCAACTACACTTTACATTTTACTAGCTTTTGTTAGTAGGCGAGACACACCTCTAACTTGGCTTCAATAGTCTGATTAATCTGTGGTTAGATTACTGCAATGCATGGGGCTGCCTTTGAATACTTTGAAAACTGCAGTTGCTGGGAGAATTCTGCAGCTGGAGCGATAATTATCATGTAACACCACTTACAGCCCAGTTTCCAATATATTCCTGTGTCCTACTATGCTCTCGCAGAGAAGCCCATGGGGCAAAGCAGTTAAGCAGCTTGCTTCTACAGAAGCTAGAGATGGACTGAGGTTTTGTCAGCATCTGTCTCCAGTCCACTGCTCCTATATTCCATCCCCTTTTTGACTTGCACAATTCTTAAAAGGGTCAATTCCCTGGCCTGCCAATGGGCATGATTTCTGAGCTCCCTGGCCTCCTACCAGATTCTTTTGAGACAAGGGAAGGTGCCCATGAGTCTACTGGGCCTTGTCTCTATTGGCCCTGATAATCAGCAAGTAAACACCCTCAGTCTGGAGTTTTCATAGCTAATTCATGCTTCCGTCTTCCTTGTACTACCCATCCCCAACAGCACCAATATATCTTTGTTTGTTAGTAACTGTCAGTTCAGACACCATTGGCATATTTATGAAGTTAGACTCCCCACCCCAATTCTTCCCACTGACTCATTACAGCAAACATCATTTTGTTGCTCAGTCATCCAGTTTGGAGAACCTTCTAGAATTCTTTGCAATCTGCTTGGAGGAACAGACTTCTTATTTACTTCTACTGTAACTGCTCATTTTTTGCTTCTTATTTCACCAGACAGCAATCTGTACCAGGATCCGTCTTCTTATCCAGCAAGTGTTAAGTTCAATTCTTTCGTGAGGGACTTTTGCTGAAAGCTTTTCAGAAGCCTAAGTATTTAAAGTCACACCTGTTGACGTTCCCCTAGAACTCCAGAAGATTGGGGAGACAATCTTTCCTTGTAGAAATCATTACATCCCCAGCAAGGCTTGTTATTTCATATGGCTGCTAATTCAGTATTTAAAAATAGCATTTTAAGCTAACTGGACTGTAAATTTCAGGATACTTTATTCCCCCTTTTTAAAAAATACCATTATGTTGCCACTTTCCAAGCCTATGGTATGCAGGCTGCAGGCTAATTTTAGGGGCAAGTCACACAGTTGTTTGAAGATCAGTAATTTTATGAGTAACTCTTGAAGGATGCCATTCAGCTTTGGTAATTTAAGTTTTAAACCAAATTTACCATTGTCATATACATGGAAGGACACAATACATGACAAACCAGGCCTCTTGTAGTAAGTTGCATAGGGCTCCTGCTTTTCCCATAATATACTTCCCTTGTTTAAGAATCACCAGTTGTGTCAGGATCAGGAAAACATAATGGTCCAGACATGCTTATGCAACAGTTTAAAAACAGAGGGCCAATTCAGCCACACATTAGAGTAGTTAAGTCATGACATGCCAGTCATATTGTGAGAAATTGGCCCCTTGAATAAAAAACACACGTGTTTCGCATAGGAAAATTGCTACCCATTGAGAATAGAATAGATGTAATACCACCCAAAGGAATAAATATTTGCACAAGTGCAATGATATAGAAAAAGGAAAAACCAGCCTTTTCTTAAGCCTAAACGTATCTATTTGTTTTGTCACCTCTGTTTCAGGTTTATTGAAGACAGAAGAGCGCTTTTATCAACTTGCACAGATCAGGTCGGCTGCAGGCTGCTAGTAAATTAAGTAGCATGTAGCACTCAAAGCAGCACAACAAACCATGTCTAGAAACTAAGGAGTTAAGTAGATAAGTAAATGTTCTTTATTGCATGTGAGTATTAAATTTACAGACAAGTGACAGTGATGGATGTGTCACACAGAACCCCAAGATTCACACCAAACTCTTCATCCTGTAGATGTTTCTATAGCTTGGAGGTTCTGCAATGGTTATGTCAATTAATTGTTCCTCACAAGACAGCTCCCATACAAGGCACTATGTAGCTGTTACTGGGAATAAATTCAGCTCCTAAAGTCTGTAAAAAACAAGTCATTGGCTTTAACAGGATAGGAAACAAGAGTTACCTTGCAAGCACTTAACGTTGAACAGAACAGAATTCTTAATGGTCTCTCTTCTATTTTCTAACACTGCTGAAATACTAGAAAACAAAAAACATAGTGTCATCCCAGATGGATAAGTATTTATCCATCACTGACAGCAAACTGCATTCCAGTTGGCTAATGCAATAGCAACCCCCGCCCCCCAAAAAATAAAAATGCAGCATTACATCTTCAACTCAAGAAAAATTTAAACATACACCAGAAGAAAAAAGAAATACAAAATTGACTTAACCCTATATTAATGAGCCAGTGCTTCTTCACTGCTATTCAACCACAGGCTGTCCTCACAAATCTGGTATTAAGATGTGCTTTCAAAGGCAGGTAGGGTGGTTTTTCAAAACAGGACTGAACCCTAGCATCATTTTTTATGGGTAAAAATGACCCACTTTATCTGGGTGCTCATTAATGTATTGTACCAGCAAAGATCTGCTTCATCAGAAATTCTAGTCAATTGACCTACAGAAGTTAGGAAGACTTAGCAATCCTACTTTTTTCCAATGTGTCCACATTCCCAGGAGTGAAAGGATAAAGTGGCAATAACATGACTACCTTGTCAATGTTATGGCTAAAGAAAAACTGCTTGTGTGTTCAAAGCAGTATCTGCTGTGAGAAGATGGTTTGGGAATGTTAAAACAAGGTTATTGTGGCCAATCAGAAGCTATGCAAAAAAGAAAAGAAAAGTCAAACAAAATTTCAAGACATGGGTGGGATGAAAAACTGAACATACACAGTTTTTATTGCAAGAGAAATACAAAGTAGATATTGCTGGAGCCATTTGGTCCATTTACTGCTTCCTTAGCTAAGTGCTGTTATGTTAAGAGCAAGTCTGTCAAATATATGAATATTTTACTCTACATCTTTAACATTTCCGAGGCTGTTGAATAATGCACAGTCTTTTGGGCAGTATAATCTTCTCCAGAGTGGGCCGCGGCTTTTGATGTTGTGAGGCTCTTGCTGGAAATTTATGCCTGAGCTGTAAGATTGAAGAAAAGGGAAAAGTTAAGAATATGAACGAAAGAATACCTGACTACAAACCATCAGCATTAAAATTCAACCGGGCAGAAGTGGCTTATTAGTTCTGCACAAACACCCCCGCTTTTTTTTGCTTTTTTTTTACGTCTTACAACATTAATAAAACACAACCATTTCAGCAGAAACCTTGCAATTTAAACATCAAAATGATAAAAGAAATAAAGACCCATTAAGAGAAAACACGGGTGGTGATGGTGGGAAGAATTATGAAGCTAACAGATTGCAAAACAGAAGTTTGATACCGAACAAAAAACACACACTAAACAAACAAAGAAACTTCCCACACATGAAGAACATTTAGTTCCTTTAAATAACATATGGTATGGAAGCAGCAGATGATGAGGGGAACAGACATGGGATGGTCTTTGCCTACCCTCCCCCCCTCTCCTGGTTTTCCCCTTTCAGTGCCTGATACAAAGGCACATAAACACTACCTCCCATCCTAGACCTAGGACCTAGCCAAGGTCAACAATAGGAAAGGAAGCCTGGGAGATGGCTGCTAGCCCAAGGATGCATTCACACGACAGTTTATTCTGTTTCCCCACCTGACTTCCTGAAATCTATATAATGCATTAATCTGATTCCAGAAAAAAATCTGTTTGAAGTGACAAAATTTGAGGCGGTATACCAGTATGCAGTTCTTCCCTGCCATTTTCATGAGGGAATAATGGGGGAACAGAAGCACACATGTGCAGAAAGTGTGGGGGAGTATCATGATGTCCAATGACATTCATTGTTGGGTCACACCATGCCCTCTGCTGTGAATGAAATTCAGTGTGATGCACCATTATATCAGTCAAAAAGCCACATTTCTATAAGACAGTAAGTCAGAGACGCCAAATTGTGCTACAGATGGGGGGTGGGCCTGCAGCATCACGACACACGTGTATGACACCACATGCACGACAATGCGATGGAGCTGGGGCCGCTTTCCACGGCAGGAGGAGGAGCCAGCCACAGAAGTTGTGCTATGCTATGCTCGGCTCTGCACTCAGCCTCCTCCACCTCCTGATCTCTTGGAACATTGGAGGGACCTGCCCCCCCCCCAATTATTGGGGGGGGGCAATAGCTTGGCCCCCATGAGATGGTGCCCCTGCAATAAGTACTGCAGTGTGAAAGGAACATTGGAAATTGGGACAGAGCCACTAGCATTATAATCAGGAAAACTAACACAATGTTCACCACATCTAAAAGCACCTTTAATGTTTTCTAATTCTTTTACTATGCTCTGGCTACACTGTCAGCTAAGTGGCATCCAACTCCGAAACCAAAAACAAGTGGCGTTAGCTCCTGCTATCACACTCCTAAGGAGAGACACTTGTTTGTTGTGTGTGCCTAGCAAAGCCCACCATAATAACACTGGCAAAGGTGCCCCCCACCTTGCTTTTGATTTGCAACCAACTAGTCAAGGTTCAGCTTCCTTAAAAGTCCTTTATTTTCTGGCTAAGCACAAGTGTTAGGGTAGTTCCGGCTGAAAATAGAAAAGCCCTGAGCAAAGCTATTGCTCTCTGAGCACTTAGAAAAGTGTGATATGACCAGATGTGATTTCTAAGTGAAGGTGACTGGATCCTGTGCAAATAATATGTAGCAACTGTGCAGCATTTGTTGAACTGCAAGACTGTTTGTCTAGAAATGTTCTAGTCATTTCAAGTCTGGTGAGCGGAGTAAGGCAGTAGAGCAAGCTGTGCCACTTCAAACTGCAGGTGGGAAAACAACGATTTTAAAAGTCACCTACAAGGAAGGAAGGAAGGAAGGAAGGAAGGAAGGAAGGAAGGAAGAAAGACAGACAGACAGACAGAAAAGACTACACAGCAGATAGAGAGATGCACTACAAACTCTCTTCCTTCTTCTGAAAGGATGCTTTAAAACCAGCACATCCTTCCTGAAACATATGCAAATGATAGATTTATGTGGTACACTGATCACTAGAGCATGTGCCATTAACCAACCCCATAGCAAAAAGACTTACTGCCAAAATACCAGCCTTCAAGCTGTTCTGAACTTTCTCATTTGTAAAAAAATGTCAAAAAGAAATTGTCAAAAACACACAAGGAACTTAGCTAGATAAAAAATGTATTTGCTGTTTGAAGCAAAACCCCAAACCCAAATTAACCCTTCTATTTATGTATGCTACTACTGCGGCCCGTGTTTTGTTAGTCCCAAAATGGAAAATGAGTGAGATCCCAACTGAAGAAGAATGACAACTTAAGTTGACAAAATAAGCTCAACTTGCAGACTTAACATATAGAATAAGAGAACAAGAACATATATTTAAAGAAGATTGGAAAATGTTTGTTGAATGAATATATGGGAGATAATTGTGTGCAGCTGAAAACACTGGCAGCATAAAGATAAATTCAATAGTGTAAACAAGTTTTGATGGATGCAATAATGGAATACTGAATTGTATAGTTTTTGTAAAATATGCAGGGATTTATGATATGTAAAATGAACCATGGAAAGAGAAGGAGGGAAGTCACTGATATCTTAAAAAGGTAAAGGGACCCCTGACCATTAGGTCCAGTCGTGACTGACTCTGGGGTTGCGGCGCTCATCTTGCTTTACTGACCGAGGGAGCCGGCATACAGCTTCCAGGTCATGTGGCCAGCATGACTAAGCCGCTTCTGGTGAACCAGAGCAGCACACGGAAACGCCATTTACCTTCCCGCCAGAGCAGTACCTATTTATCTATTTGCACTTTGTGCCTTTGAACTGCTAGCTTGGCAGAAGCAGGGACCGAGCAACGGGAGATCACCCCTTCCAGGGATTCAAACTGCCGACCTTCTGATCGGCAAGTCCTAGGCTCTGTGGTTTAACCCACAATGCCACCCGCGTCCCAGTGATATCTTAAGGACATAAAATGAGTATTTTAAATTGTAAAACAGTAAACTTAATAAAATTATATACAAATTAATCCTTCTTGCAATGTACTAAGGCTTCAAATGGCCACACACACAAAAAGATTAGTTCAGTTTGTTCATTATTAGGAAGCAAACATCATGCAGTGGGTCCAAGTGCAGAGCACAGATTGAGCGGTGCCATAATTATAACCAGTCCTGTCTTCTCAGCAAGTTCTCTCCATCTGATAAGACCACATTTTGCTGTGTTTCAGACAAAGGAAGCCATGGGTAGAAGGGGCAATCCTTGATTCTCCCCCTCCCCCCATTCAGCACCCATTCAAGATCTAACAAGCAGTTTTGTGATGTTTTAAAACCCAACGTATTTATTGTGGCATAAGCTTTAATGGGACTAGAGTAGACTTCATCAGATACATGAAGAGTTATCCTCAGTTGGAATTGTGTGTGAATGTGCATAAACTCAAAAAAATTGTGAACAATTAGGCCCAAAATACAATTGGCCCAGTTTGCACATGATGATACATCAAACCATATCTAAGTGTGAACAAGCATACTGGTACTCACAAAAAGAGTCATGGCCACTCTGCTTCTCCTTTAGCTCTGCTGCTGACACACTCCCCAAAGCCTATCCATAGCCTGGAATAGTGCTATGTTCAAACCCAGACTCCTAGTTTGTCTTCCCTGGACAAACCATGAACCCAGGGCTGGATACAATGCTAAGCCAAACCATAGCTTAGCTCTGGAAAGTTCAGCAGCAAGACTGAGGAAAGAAAAATGTTGCTGAAATTTTTGCTTCAAGTACCGCATACTTGCCTGTTCACATTCACTCATGGTTTGGCTTAGCAATACCATGGTTTGGTTACAAGCGCACACGTACAGTGTCCATTCACAGTAGCAGTAATTCACGAGTACGAATTCCTGGCTAGTGCGTATTACTGCTTTTGCAAATAATCACTGTACCTACCACGTATACACTTAAGCTTTACAAAAAATTGTAAGAGAGTACACCTTCCCTTTCATGGCCATTTGGTCCCACTGCTTCCTCTATACCCATGTATTTTACATATCTGCCAATTAAGGACAACACTTCATGCATCTGGTGAAGTGGGCTCAAGTCCACAAAAAATCTGTCATGCTTTAAAGGGTCTCGAGGCTCATGGTTGATTTTGCGACAAACAGATGAAGACTGCTACCTTTTTTTGAAGGTTTCTTTTTTTAAAATAATCATTGAGGTATAATTAATAATGAGAAATCTTGAAGGCAACTTTGCAATATGTCCTTTTCATGTGTACTTACTTTATCCAGTGCATCTGAAAGCAGAATACTCATGCTTTGCATTTTTATGACATTGAGAGAGCTGTGGAGTAAGGAAAAGAAAGTTAACCAGGGCTTTAATCTTCCCAGAACCCTTCATACTGTTTGTTAAATTCTCCCCCACCCAATCCTAACCTGCAGAGCACTTTGCTTTGCTTATATTAATTTAGCGACAACCTAGATGTTGCATTAAGCGCACGACTGGTCTTTGTGGGCTTGTATCCTGTTTACTAGGGACGCGGGTGGCGCTGTGGGTAAAACCTCAGCGCCTAGGACTTGTCGATCGCATGGTCGGCGGTTCGAATCCCCGCGGCGGGGTACGCTCCCGTCGTTCGGTCCCAGCGCCTGCCAACCTAGCAGTTCGAAAGCACCCCCGGGTGCAAGTAGATAAATAGGGACCGCTTACCAGCGGGAAGGTAAACGGCGTTCCGTGTGCTGCGCTGGCTCGCCAGATGCAGCTTGTCACGCTGGCCACGTGACCCAGAAGTGTCTGCGGACAGCGCTGGCTCCCGGCCTCTAGAGTGAGATGAGCGCACAACCCTAGAGTCTGTCAAGACTGGCCCGTACGGGCAGGGGTACCTTTACCTTTACCTATCCTGTTTACTAAATAGCAGCTGCAATGTCCACAATCCAGAATGAGACTGATGGTAAGGGAAGTAATTTAAATCCCTTCTTTCTGGTCTCAATCCAGACCCCCACCCCGCAACAGCTACTACATTGCAAACAAAAACCAAGCACACAAGAGCTAACCTGTTGCTAAATTTGACCCTCAATCAAGTCATTGCTAATCTTGCATAGATCACAGTGTATTGACTTTGGATCAAATAGTGCCAGAAGGGCATGGGGAAAAGATAGGTAACATATTCAGCGCTCCTTTGGATACAATCAAGGTTTAAATCAGAGGACTGATCAAGCTCTGAGATGAGTAAGTCAAGATACAAATACAGTTTTTCACCACAGGCAGAACGCAACCAAATCTATACTTCTACTGCAAGTGTGTAAGAACCAAAAATCACATGTGCATTGTTCTTACTTCCAAGTATTCTACATAATTTATATGTAATATTAGCCGGTTCTTACTTATGTAGAGATGGAACAGACAAGTACAAGGTGCAGCTGATCTCTCGTACATGTGATTGTATTAGGGCTGAATGATTTCTGGGATGCTATTTATTTAAAGCATTTTTTTCCTGCTTTTCAACCCACAAATGCCAGTGATGAGACAGTTCTACCCTTAGGCCCTCAATTTAAAAGACACAACACAAAAAGAAAACTAACTGAGAGTGAGGAAGGAAAAAAAGAAAACACAGGCACTGTCTCATAGTTAGGGATTATTCTATGGACAAGCTGGAAATCAAAGGTTGCAAGAGGAGGAAGGAGCCTGAAGTTGCTGGTCTTTCTGCAAAGTTAATGGGAGAGGCTCTGCGGAACCATCTCTCTCTCTCTTTCCAACAGTCCAGTGGAATGGCTGGGGTTGTTGTCCCAGGATAACAAATGGTGTAAACAGGCTCCTTTTGTGCTGTGAAGCCAGAAGATTAAGCTACAATTGAGCCCCTGACAGATTTCAGCAAGCACATCTTAAAATAGTCCCCCCCCCCATTTAATAGCCACTTCCTAGTGGCAGCAGGTTGTTTTATAGGCTTTATGTGCAGAGGAAGTGAACGTTATCAGCTCAGTTCCAGGAATAGTGTTTGCAAGGTGAAAGGAAGACCACAATGGGGCTTTTTTGTGCATGTGTGGTTTTACTATAAATAATAAACTTTTGCCCCAGACGAAAGTAAAAAGACGATTTTCCACACAATTGCATTACTGGCAACTTCTCAAGGCTGCCAAAGAATTTTACAAGCACCTATTTCCAACTTTCTATGCACCTCATTTTAGATGAAAACAAAACTGTATGAATTTTGCCTCATGTATCATATAAGCCTTCACTAAGCTATCCCACCTTTGCCACAAAAGTCTGCAGGGCTAGTTATTTATTGTGATATTATTTGAAAGAGGAAAATGCAGAACAAACCAAGAGACTATTTTGTATTGGTTCTGGAATTTTAGGCAACAGGCTTCATCCTGATGCTAAGGCTGCAATCCAAACTCCTTATTTACTGTGCAGAGGAGAGAGGAGATGGGATGTGGCCAAAGTCTCCCTCCACTAGTCCTAAAACAGCTCCGACAACCTCTGTCTGTGGAATAATGCCAGTGTCACTCCTCTGGAACAGAGCTTCCTGTCCGTCAAAATGGCATGTGTGCACAAGTTTACCAGTTGGATTCCCACTGGTATGAGCCTAGAAGATGCCCCCAAACGGGGTGTTTGGGGAGCATGGAGGGTCTGAACTGGCCTGAGATCCATTAGATTCTAAGCTGCTCCCACCGTCACCACTTAATAGTATCAGACCTCATTGCTATTGCAGCTCCAAACTATTGTAACACAGAGCAGGGTTCTTGCTATCCCCTTCTGCCCCAGTCACCATGAAGAGCAGGACGTCAGATACAGATACACAATTCTGCCATGCTTCACTGCTTCCTGGCCAGGGTTAGGATTGCCCTACTCTGATGTAAGCCTCTATTGGCTGTGCAGACACAAAGTCCTCTCAAGAATAAAAGTTGAACATGATTTACACTGTTAAATTTTTTTTGGGGGGGGTGTGCGTGTAAAACTTCCTGTGCATGATTTTTCAGCACTGAATATATTTTATTTTTTATCAGGTTTTCTTTGCTTTACTTTCATTGCTTGCTTCAACAGTATTGTTGCCAGTAACACTATTTATAATTCAAGTTGATATATCTGATATTTTTATGATATAGTTGTATATTCATTCATTTTTAAAAATAGATAATAAATAAATAAATGGACATCCTCTTTCCCACAAACCTGAACTTATTCACTCCCTAGTCATTCTCATTAACACCGTGACAAGTCACTACAGCACACATACCTAGTCTTGTCTCTCGCTGGGATTTTGGTACTTTTTTCAACAGGTGCATTCTCCAGCTTCTTGGCAACTCTCATACCTCCAGCTTTGACTGTAGAGGAAAGCAGTGATAACATGTGTGACTGGCAGATAACCCCAAAGCAATTGGTCTGTTTCACATTATGCAAGACATACGTTGCCAAATACATATTTAGAATGGCGGGCAAGATACAGATTTTAATTCACAAGGCACTTACTCCAGAGCACTTGCATTCCTCAGGGACACAGGAAGTAGCCTTGTACCAGGTTAGACCACTGGTCCACCTAGCTTGGTATAGTCCATCACTGACTGTCCAAGATCTTTCCCAGCCCAATCTGTCTATGTTACGGAGTGAACCATCTAACCTACATGTACAAACCATGTGCTCTTCTTATCATTGAACTATTGCCCAGGTGTACAGTGGGTCTTAAGCTACACTGTTAACAGGATCACTTTGAGTCTATGAACAGAACATTCATGAATTTGTTTGTACTGCTGCCAGGTTGGTGCAAGCTGAGATATTTACATGCCATTCACAGCTATGATATTAAGCCACTTTTACACCCATGCACAAACAGAAAGGTGTTTCTTTTTGTTTGTATCCCACACAGCTGCAGTATGGGTCAATACCAGAGTCACTGCTGTCCCACACATTTGTATTGCGGCTCCCATACATCTTAAGAATGGGCATGTTGCACTTATTTAGAAAACTTAACAGTCCTTGCCATCGAGCATGGAAAAGTTAAATCTATCCTTGAAAGGGTTTGGCTAACATTGCAAAATATGGAGAGAGAAGATTTATCTTTTAGTGTTTTTGCCTTCAGTCTCAAAGTTTCTTTGCAACCATAGGTTAGATAAATCATATAAAAAGTAGTAGTAACCTGGAGTCTTCGGGGTTCTAACAAAACCTTTTGTAGTCTAGATTTGGCCTCCAAGTAGCCATGATCTGAGCATACCCCACGACAAATAATGTTTGCATTTATCTATCACCAATAGTTCAGAATAAAGAGGTACTTCTTGTGCTGGTATGATGCATTTGACTGTCTGCATTCTCCCAAGTAATAATTATGCTCTGTTAACGTGCCTGTCAATTATAAAACCAATTAGCAGTAATTAAAGCTGAAGATGACCTGGCAACAATAATTTCAATGTTGAGAAATGTCAAACAAACTCATCTTTAAAAGAACTTAAAGATATTTCAGATATAATTGTTGAAATAAATTACTGTTTTCCCATGTCATACAAGGCATTACATCTAAAAACTGCCAGATTAAGCAGAGACTTAAATTTAACTTTGGTTAAATGCCCTCACATGAAGGCATATTTGTAACTTTGCAGCTCTGCTGCCTAGACTTGTGTTTTTTGGGAACCAAATAAAGTCCTTTTCATTTGCCTTTTTTTTTTTTTAAGGTGTCTTATCTGCACTTTTCAGTTTTAATTTTAAATGGAACCTATTTCATTACATATTTTATTTGTGTGAGTCACCTCAAACATTTCTGTGGAGAGGCAGGGTATAAATTTATTAAGTAAACAGTACCTGGGCTGCTTCAGAAGAAAGAGTGGGAAAGAAACTGAATTAACAATAAACAAAGAAACAAAATAGTCCTGGATATGAGCTTCAGGCACAAGAGTGGTTAAAAGAGGTGAAATGCAGTTTTCATTAGACATTCAGATATGGAAGACTTGGATTGATTGATTGATTGATTTAGTTCCTATTAGAAAAAACGCTATAATTTTTACAAGCTTTCATCGATTCCTGGAGCAGCTAGGAAACTAATGCTTATTTTCACCGTCATAACAATCCTGCAAGATAGGTCAGGCTGAAATTTATCTACTGGCTCAGTCTTCATTCCTTGAGAAGGGTTTTATTTTATTAAAATATTTTATATTAAAGATTTTCTTCGGTTACAAAAGTACTGTATGTGCAATTGTCTCTTTTTGAGATTGCCTTGCTCCTAATCCAGTCTTCTTCACCACCAGAATCTCACACTCTTTGTTTTCAATCACAGCCCTATTATTATTATTATTAATTTATTATTTATTGAACTGATATACTGCCCTATACCCTGAGGTCTCAGGGTGGTTCACAGAATAAAATCAAAATATAAAACCACAAAACACATAATCAAAATAAAAACAACAACCCAATAACCCCCCCCAAGCCCCCACATTTTAAAAGCGCATAGGATGTCAATCAAATCAACCAAAGGTTTGGTTAAAAAGGAACATTTCTGCCTGGCGCCTAAAGGTGTATAATGAAGGCACCAGGCAAACTTCCCTGGGGAGAGCATTCCACAGACGGCGAGCTGCTGCAGAGAAGGCCCGTTCTTGTGCTGCCACCCTCCAGACCTCTCGAGGAGGAGGCACACGAAGGAGGGCCTCAGAAGATGATCTCAGGGTCCTGGTAGATTCATATGGAAAGAGGTGGTCCTTCAGGTATTGAAGACCTGAGCCATTTAAGGCTTTATAGGTCAAAACCAGCACTTTGAATTGGGCCTGGAAACTAATTGGTAGCCAGTGCAGTCAAACCAAGATTGGTGTAATATGCTCAAATTGTCTTGCTCCAGGGAGCAACCTGGCTCACCACTAATTGGTGGGAACCAAGAAAAGTAAAAACACTTAAGACTTTTGAACTGCTTAGTGCTTTGATTCTTAGCTAGATGAAACACTGGTTTTTACACACAGGGCAAAGTGATGACTGGGGAGCCTCGCTTTCATATTTTTATCTAGGACGTTTTTGTTAACCACCTTGATTTTCAAACACCTCATCAACAAGTCGCGATACCATTACAGTGGTACCTCAGGTTAAGTACTTAATTCGTTCCGGAGGTCCATTCTTAACCTGAAACTGTTCTTAACCTGAAGCACCACTTTAGCTAATGGGGCCTCCTGCTGCTGCCGCGCCGCCGGAGCCCGATTTCTGTTCTTATCCTGAAGCAAAGTTCTTAACCTGAAGCACTATTTCTGGGTTAGCGGAGTGTGTAACCTGAAGCGTATGTAACCCGAGGTACCACTGTAATTAATCACTGTTACAGGGAAGCAACAAATTTCAGGAGTCACTGCTGTGTCAACTACAGTACTAACCAGGAATAACCAGTGCTATTTTTCTGGAAAAAGAGGTGCCAGAATTCACCATGAATACCAATGGCACCCACCTGAGAGCTCCCAGAACCTACTTGAGAGGTGCCGGAACTGAGTTCCGGCAAGTTCCCCTTAAAAGCCCTGGGAATAACTGCAGTACAAGTTTGTTAACTACAAACAACAGGCCAATAACTCTGAAGCCTGAAGGTTTCTACGTGAGTTAGAGAAGACGTCTGAAGTTTGAAGCAACTCTTTGAGGGGTAAACAAGCTGTTACAACCGAGCTTCCAAACGGGAGCAGCTCTAGAAATGCAGAACTGCCTGTACTGAGAGAACACCACGCGGGCACGGTCCACTGTTAAGGCTTGCTCGTTTAAGCGCTCTTTAAATGACACTCAGTGGGAGAGCCGCCTCTTTTTTTCGCAGAGATCGCGCTCTGGAGGCCGAGCTTTCCATGAAACTCGCCTCCGCCTAGGCGCATTGCGCGCCGCCTCCCATTCAGCGCAGAGGGGCGGGGACCTGCCGTAGTTTCTAACGACCCACTTAGCCTCGTGCGCAGTTCGGCCCTCGTACGCATCTGGGGAGGCGGGGAAGAAAGCTTTTACCACAGGCTGACATAACAACTACACTTCCAGGGCAGCGAGAGAAGCACACGCCCACCAAGGTGGGCGGAGAGAAGGGGCGTTATTGCGCCACTGTTTACAACCTCGAGGCTCTCATCTTTTCTTCTCCGACATTTATTTTTTGGGGGAATAAATTCCAGTTAGGCGACACACAAAAGATTAGGAGCCAGTAACACCCTGCCTCATTCCTAGCTATTGGTTCAAGAAAACTACGGTTGTTGTTGTTGAGGGAACAAACATCTCCAAAGAGGGCGGGATTTTGTGCTGAAGCGCACCAGTCCTAGCCCTGCTTACCTATCGCTGCAAACCCGAATGCATTCACTAGCCCCCTCCTGAGTAAGCGTGGTTGTTATACGGCTCTCCAGCCACAGACAGGTCCCCGCCAGCTCGCAGCTAAGCTTCCCGCCCTGCCTGCTTACCTGCAGGGGAGCGCCCCACTTTCAACGGGGAGGCCGGCGCGGGCATTTCAGGCTTGGTCATGATGGCTAAGCAAAACGCGCACTGCGAAGCAAGCGGGCGATGCTACGGACTACGAACTGCGTTCTGCTCACTCCGTCGACGGCTCCTCCTTTATGGGGAGGAGGCAGTGTGAATAGGAGGGGCGTTGCTGCCAGCGGTGGAAAGGGGCGGGGAAGGGGAGAGAGCTAGAAAAACTTTTGCCAGCTTCTAGCCTAGCGGCTGGAAGAAAAAAAACCAAGAGAAAAAGGGGCTGGGGTTGCTCTGAGTTTGGCCTCGAAGGGCTCTGAGTCCACAGCCAGTTGGTAGCGCGCAAGCTCTGAGAGACGTAAAGGCGCGTGTGCGTCATGCATCTCCCCTCACAAAGGAAAAAAGAGAGAAGCACAAACGTATCAAGGCAGCTTAAGTGTCAGTGTAATGGAAGTATTGTATTATTTGTGCTTAGGTTTGGCTCTCCAAGTCGCCCTTCCTTCCCTCCTGATTTCTGTTCAGAGTTGGAATGCCAGCTGTGGTGGGCCAGTTCAAGGCTACAGGCTTCTGGCATGACTCATTCCCACACTTTCTCAGAGAAATGTGAATGTGTGTAGACAGATAAATAGCCACCAGCATCCAGAAGTTGGTTTAAAACAAAACAAAACCACAAAACATAATTTTATTAATATAGATTTTCAAGATAACCTACAAAAGATAACCATAAAAAACACCAGTCTTGTGTGAATTTATTCCCCCCAAAAAATAAACATCGGGGAAGAAAAGTCTTCAGTTTGAGTCTCTCTTACCATTCTGATCATGGGCCTAGCCAGGGGGGTGCAGCTGCACCCCCTAAATCAGGGGTCGGCAACCTAAGGCCCATGGGCCACAAATGGTCCACGAGGGTCGTTTAACTGGCCCATGAGCTGCCTCCAAACTGAGCTGCCCGCACGGCGAGTCTCCGCATGCTTCGCTAAACCGGCGCAGTGCAGCGTGGGGACTCGCTTCTGTGGCGCCAGAAATAGCGTCTGCGCAGACGCCAGAAATCTCGTGTGTGATCCAGCCCACGGACGGCTCTCCGCTGGAGTGAACTGGCCGAGGCGAGGTAAACCTTGCCAACCCCTGCCCTAAATCAAGTAAACAAATAGAAATAAATAACTAACCAATCGCATCACAAATAACTCGGTTCTGTGCCCCCCCCCACATAAAACCTGGCTACGTCCATGATTTTGACTACAACCTCCTAAGACCAGGTTTGTTATTAGTGTATAGCTTATGATGCACGAGCATCTCTGCATTCATGTATGTAGTGTGAATAATTGTCTTGTGACTCAAGGCAATAAAACATTTTACTTTGAACCATGTGGGCAAAGAGTTTCTCTTTACTGCCAACTCTCCAGTGGCTGAAGGGCGAAAGTCCTGGAGGTGTGTTACTTTGATTGTGTACATTGCTATAGGTGTGATCTTAAAATGTTTTTGCTAAGCAGACAAAATAGCCAAAATAAATAGGAAATTGTATAAATGAAATTTGGTAGCATCACTGTGGCCCTTATTTTAATGGCAGCCACTAGAAATTTTGCTCTATTTGCTGTTACCAGTTTATTTTTCTCCCCCATCCCTGAAGTTTTATTGTTGCTAACTTTGCTGCACTAAATGTGCATTATGTAGATGACCTTTTGTTTTGAAATCTTTACGATAATATTTTAGTTTCCTGTTTATTATGTTGCTTTAAATGTATACTTTCTTGAGTAATGTTTTATTCTCAAATGTTTTACTTGATGTTTTAATACAGGCTGTAAATCGCTTTGAGGTATTTTCCTCAAAAATATAAAGCAGCACAGAAATGAAAGGGGGGAAAGTCACCTAATAATCAACTGGATGCTCTGGATGAAGTAGCAATAATGGGGAAATAACAATAATTAACTCTTTATGCAAATATCTGTAAAAAGTGAGCCAATGTTTTAATATTGCGATCCACACACACAAAACTTCAGAATGGAGTTCTCTTGAAACGACTCCCAAGGACTTAAAGCTGTGCACTCAGTTGTGCACTTGATAAAGTTCTTCTGTATTTTAGAACAGATTTTGTAGGCAAGATGCCATTGTGTCAAGAGAACTGCTTGGAAAACAGTCATACCTGTGACACAGTTTTCTTACTGCATTGAGAGCCACAATACAGTATTTGGAACAGGGGAAAGTGCTTATGTGTTTCAAGAGGCTGAGATCCAGACAGGCTCTTCCTCCTTTTCTTCAAGGAGCTCAAGGCTTTGTATATGGTTCTAATCCCCACAACAACCCTGTGAGGTAGGTTAGGTTGAGAGTCCTGGAATATTTGCCCCCTGCCTTACAGGCCTTTCCCACCTGGCCAGGGACAGCAGGACCCTGACTGACTCTGGCTACAAAAGCTGAGGCTGCTGAACAGACTATAGGGCTGGGGAGAGATGTTGCTGTTATTGCTGTTAATTTTTTGTTATCTTTATTTTGGGTCTCACTATGATTACAGTGGTACCTCAGGTTAAGTACTTAATTCATTCCGGAGGTCCGTTCTTAACCTGAAACTGTTCTTAACCTGAAGCACCACTTTAACTAATGGGGCCTCCTGCTGCCGCCACGCTGCTGAAGCACAATTTCTGTTCTCATCCTGAAGCAAAGTTCTTAACCCCAAGCACTATTTCTGGGTTAGCAGAGTCTGTAACCTGAAGCATATGTAACCTGAAGCATATGTAACCTGAGGTACCACTGTAATGTGGAAATTGCTCAATTTGGTTGTGCATTTTTTAATATATATATTTGTTATGTTGTAATCATGCTGTGAGCCACCTTGAGCATGGTTTGAACTATGGAAAGGCAGCATACAAATAAAATTATGTCTGTATGTGACAGTGACTAGCCCAAGGTCATCTAGTGAGCTTCAGTAGCTGAGCGGTGATGTGAACCCTCATCTCCCAGGTCCTAGTCCAAAACTCAAATCAGTACTCCACACTGGCTCTCTGTTAGGGTTGCCATATGTCCGGATACATACTGAATACTGCAGCTGCAAGCAGTGTCCATACCAGCAGTGTCTTTTTTGCTCAACAACTTTTTGAAATATGGTTTGGTTTAGAATTATATGGAAATTGGTTGAAATAGTTTGTCTGTTGTCTCATATCCTACTTCGTTCTTGGGTCCTCGTTTATATTCAAGCAATTTCCTTTCATTTGTTTTTCTTTCTCTGGTATTTCTCTCTTTTTTCTCATTTCTCCCCCCAGAGCCTCTATGCAATTCTTTTGTAATTTGTATTTCATGGGAATTATTTGGAGAAGAGAGTCAAGTTATGCATACTCTCTCTCTCCCAGATCACTCAGAACTTTTCCAAGCAAAGCAACAATATGGAGTCTCACGTGGATCCAAATGCAAGCTGTCCTAAAAAAATGGAAGAAGTATGTGCCACTCATATGCTCCAGCTGCTGTTACTAATTAATTGGGGCTTTCCCCCGGTGAATGACAGCTCTCTCCTTTGGGGACTTTTGGGAATGCTTCAGAAACACAATGCATATCCCCTGCATAACTGCCATCGAGAAAGTAACAATTGCTGAGTGTGTTTGAGTGGCAGATATTCTATAATAAGCACAACTAGGTCTGCTATGAGATTCAGCATTCTTAATTTTGTAAAAGTGTAAGGCCTTGTAAAGCACATTCGTACAAATTTTAAGTAAAAAGCAAGTTCTACTGGGTTCAGTGGGACTTAATCCCAGGTATATCTTGTATGGGAATTCAGCTTTGAGGTGCAATCCTATACATGTCTACTCAGAAGTAAGCCCCATTCAGTTCAACGGGGTTTACTCTGAGGTTAGTGTGTACAGAGTTGCAGCTTTAATTGTATATTCCTACTTATAAAAAGAAAATTTTCTCTCTCCCACTGGTTTGATTAAGGAACCTAAGATCCTTCATGTGCCTTTATAAATATAAGTCTAATGCATGATGGCAAAGCAGGATACAACCTGCTTTGCACCCCACCCAACAGACAAAGATAACTCACATCGACACAGCCTGCGGGTACTTGGCTCTCCAAACACATTGGAGGTAATGTGTAATCGGTGCATTAGGTATGTGAAAATGGGATTTAGGATGATAATAAATAATAGCTTAAAGTTACTACAATCCTTTTATAGCCAGGGAACAAATAATGTTCATGCTGAAACAATCCCCTCCCCCTGTAATTGTTATCTTAATTAAAGGACAGCATTTTATGGTTACTGACGCCCTGGCTTTCTGCCAATTTTGCAAGCAAATGGCTAGTTGAGAGATTGTTTTAGGATTATCCAGTAATTCTTGTTTGAGGAAGAGCCTTAATAATTTAACCTAGCAAGAGGAATCTCAATGCGTTTTTGTCGTGTCAGTACCTGTCCTGTGAGTGCGGTAGTCTATCCTAATTCTGAAAAGTTATACAGCGGCAGGCGTTAAGCACCATAGGAATGCAAGAAAAGGCAAAGAAGGTATGTGTATGTGTATGTGCGTGTGTGTGTTTGTAGTGTACACATGTGCAATTTATAGGTTCTCTTCCTTCCCCTTCCACTGTACATAGTTGAGACATTATTTAAATAACTAGTGGGTTATAGCCTTGTTGCTTTGCTTTTATCTATTTACAGTGATACATCAGGTTAAGTACTTAATTCCTTCCAGAGGTCCATTCTTAACTTGAAACTGTTCTTAACCTGAAGCACCACTTTAGTTAATGGGGCCTCCTGCTGCTGCCGCACCGCCGGAGCACAATTTCAGTTCTCATCCTGAAGCAAAGTTCTTAATCCAAGGTAATATTTCTGGGTTAGCAGAGTCTGCAACCTGAAGCATATGTAGCCTGAAGCGTATGTAACCCGAGGTACCACTGTACATATGTTTTTACCTTGTATTTTATCTTGAGGTAAACTGCCCTGAGATCTTGTAATGAAGGGCGGTATATAAATTTAATAAATAATAATAATAATAATACCAGTAATTTAGGAAAAAATAAATTCAATTGAAATCAAGGAGATCTATTTCCATGTAAGTGTAAATCTGTAAGACTTATTGCCATGTAAGTTTTATGTAGTACTGGAAGGTTAATATTTTAGAAAAATCTATTGATTGAAAACTTTTATGTTTGTGTTATTTTAAAGTTCAAGCCTGTCCACGTTAATTCACTGGGTCTTACTCTTCCTTGGAGGCTGCAATTATAACCCCTGAGAAACAGAAAGAGGGCTCTCTATCTCTGTGTCTTTTTCTCACTCTCACACAATTCACTTTTCCAAGGAATCTGGGCAAAAAGTTGCCTCTAGTAGAATCAGAGCTCTGAATGGCACCTACAGTAGAGATAAAGGAGTGTGTCACTCTTCTCCCCTTCCTCCTTCTGCTTTATGTACTTTTTGAGAGAAGTAACCATCCTCACTCCCTCATGACCAAGGGAGCAACTCAAGAGACTCTGTGGCTGTCAGGGGGGAATGAATTATTGGAGCTAAGAGCCTCATCAAAGTGTATATGCTGCTTGTCTTTCCTTCTCTCTCCAAAATAGGGCCAGTTCCCGGCCCCCCTCCATTGTTGATAAGCTTTGCTAGCCTTACCTGTCAGTAATGGTAAGGAGCAAGGTCCAGGTACCTTGGGCCTTGCCTGTCATTTACCTTTTCCACAGTGCCCTGGAACTAAATTGGGGGAGGGGATTGGGGTAAGTAAAATAGCCACTAGGCCCAGAGGCCCAGTGCTGCTGGAACAAATTTAAAAGTGGGGTCAGGGTGGGCATCAGTAGGTTCTGCCAGTGTGCTATGGCCCTGGCAGCTGCCCACGGATACCAGATGATGATGCCAGCTCTTATGTAAACACACATATTTTTGGGGTGGATTAACTTCAGTCTAGTGTGGCCTACGGTACTTTTTTGTTTTACCCAAATCTCTATGGTCCACTGGTATGATTTAAATTTACAAAGTAAGAGTGCATACTCCCTTGTGAAGCCATATCTAATCTGTGTCAAGTTAGCCTGCATATGTTTGACTGCTTAAAAGCAATACAGAATTTTTTGGGCCAAAAGTCTGTCTTTTTGTTTTTGTTTTGTTTTTTACAAAATGTCCAGAAAGTTTTGTACTGTAAACAGTTATCCAAGTATTCTCTTGTTTCAGAAAACATCTATTTCTATATGGTATTCCTCAATCCCTGAGATAGCAGGGTGAGGCTCTCTGTTCGGTGTTGTGTATGCCCACAGAAGTTCAGTCAAACAATTAAGCTTGCTTTAGCAGAAATTGCTTAACTTAGTAAATACAAAATACTCTATACCCACACTGAGCCCAGGGAGGGATTTAGCTTTCATAGCCAAATTCATAGAATCATAGAGCTGGAAGGGACCACAAGGGTCATCTAGTCTAGCCCCCTACAATGCAGGAGTCTTTTGCCCAATTGTGGAGCTCCAACACACAACCCTGAGATTAAGAGTCTCATGCTCTACCAACTGAGCTCAGAGTCCTTCTTTGAACAAAGTCCACAAAGCAAGTACAAAGTCCATTTGCCAAACTCCACAATTCTTTAAGTCCAGTTCTCCAACTTTCTTCAATTTTTAACTTATCTCCAATTATTTCTCTCCAGCAGTTTCTCCACTCTTTGTCTTCAGGTTTTGTCTCCAGAAGGAATGATGAAATGTGGGCCCTCTTACATAGGCCAGCTCTACGTGCCAGGCTGCATAGCAACAGAGATAAGGAATTACGAGCACTTTGCAGCTGCACATTAGGGAAGAATATTATTTCCAACTTATGGAGGAATTAACACTTTCCTCAAACTCTCCTCCATATTTCATCATTTGATCAAAGAATGTCAGAGAGAGAGAGAGTGTGTGTAAAATTTCAGAACTCATTTATTGGTGGTTAATATTACAGAATATGCTAGTTATATGCAGAGTTTTAAAAAATTGTTTCCTGCTTTAATTGTGGTACTAATTTTTTATCATTGATTGTTGGTATTAGTGATTTTATTGTCTGTGTTTATGGTTGGTGTGTCCACTTTGGTGAACTAGTGCTTGTTGTTGTTGTTATTCTGTTTTGGTATTTAAAAAAAATTTTTTTTTAGAGGTTTCTGTTTTTATTTTTCTTCCCCTACTGCGATGTGTTTAGATTGTGGGTTTTTAATATTGCACCAGGTGCCTTTGGGCTAGGATTCTATTACTGTCCTCCTTTATTAAAGTTATCAAACAGACATGTGACTACAGTGCCTTAAGCTTGTCAAGATAATGAAAAGTCGAGAGCAACATAGAATCAAGCATTCTCAGTGTTAATGACTCTTCCCTCTCACAAAGCATGGTCACATCCACACCATACATTTAAAACACTCTTATACTACTTTAACAGCCAAAGCTTCCCTCTTGAGAACCCTCAGAACTGTAGTTAAGACTTCACATAGCTACATTTCAGCCCTGCCCACCACTGGTATTTGGCCATCTGAAGGTAGGGCAGAAGGGAATGTGACCCCTTAAGATATTTTGGGTTCTCCCTAATGTTTTTACTTTATTTCTGCAAAACGTGGGGGGTTCAACAAGCCTGCAAGTCTTATATGTACATCAGAGCTTTCCAAACTTTTCATGTTGGTGACACGCTTTTTAGACATGCATCATTTTGCAGCACAGCATTTCAGTTGTACTAGCAAACCAGAGGTTAAACTAACCCCTTTCCAGTGCTAGGAGGAGTGCGAGGAGTGTTTGCACGACACACTGCAGCTGACACACTAACGTGTCGCGACGCAGTTGGGAAAGCTCTGGTGTACATGTTATTTTGGCTACATAAATATATATACACTCAGAATTTTTTTTTGGTTTGCTGTTAGTATGTATCCACAAAATCCTATGCTACAAAAGTGACATTTGGTGAAATGATTCTGATGGATTTTGATTCCTGCATTTCACGGGGTTGAACTAGATGACCCTTAGGGTCCCTTCCAACTCTACCATTCTGTGATTCTATGGAATAGATTTTTCCTTGCTTAAAATGTAGATAGTTATGCTTGTGCAGGAATAAGATGCAAAAATATTCATTTCCCTGAATAAGTGGGAGAATTTGTTTACTTTTTAGTAACTAAATGATATGCCGGTTGGACATGTCCTATTAATTTAGACAAATTATCCTTAGTCTTCATTTAGATATGACATAAATGTTCCACCCGCACATTATTTATTGCCTCAGTCTTGGTCTAAAGAGTTTGTTCTCATTTAAGCTTCAGGCTATCAAGGTTGAGTTATTTTGTTAATTTAACCAGATACAGTTACTTCTCTATTAATTGCCTAGGTTTTACATCATGTCACAGCTAGAAAATTATCTCTGTGTTCCTGTCAAGTAAACAAATCTACAATTAACTTCTGAAAGGAAGAAGCATCTAGGTTCCTAGGTTTTGGGGACCTGAATAGAATGAATCACTGCTGAGTATGTTTTTACTTTTTATAAAAACATCTTTCCATTAAATGATTTTCAAGGCGACTTACATCCGAATGAAACATTAAAAGGACATAATCCTACAATCACCACACAGAATTAACAGGAAGACATGTCTCCTCATAAGTAAGCCCTATGGAGTTCAGTGGTACTTTCTCCTACATAAAACTGTATAGAATCACAGCCTAAATCTATTTACAGGCAACTCCCCATTCAAGTGTGTTCAAAGCATGCACGACCGTGCACACATGTATTGCTGCAAACCCGGAAGTAAAACAAAAAGGGGCAAAAACTGTGTGAAAACAGCATCTAGCAATCCCATGAGCCCTTGCACCGAACTTTGAGGCTTGTGGAGAGTTTGAGTTTGAGCAAGGAGGTTTGGAGGGAGCAATTGTGGCGTTTGCAGGCATTTTAAATGGTGTTTCCAATATTAAATGTGCAGTGATTGGAACATAACCCCCATGTAAATGAGGAGTTGCTTGTAACACATCCCCAAAGGCCTTGTGAAAAAGTCTATCATGTTTAACAGCACCTTGCCACCTAAAAAAAATAAATACAGAGGTACCTCGGGTTAAGAACTTAATTCGTTCTGGAGGTCGGTTCTTAACCTGAAACTGTTCTTAACCTGAGGTACCACTTTAGCTAATGGGGCCTCCTGCCGCCGCGTGATTTCTGTTCACATCCTGAAGCAAAGTTCTTAACCTGAGGTACTATTTCTGGGTTAGCGGAGTCTGTAACCTGAAGCGTCTGTAACCTGAAGCATCTGTAACCTGAGGTACCACTTTAATAATAGCAATATATTATTTTGTTATATACTGAGCTTGTATATTACATATTTATATCCCACCCTTTTCCCCGACAAGGACTTAACAAATCCATCAGCGAGGAAGAAAGCCAAGTCTGTCCCACGGAAAGTTCCACAATGGAAGCTATCAGGTGTTACACTGCTTTAGGTTTCTTCTACAGCTGTTGCTGCTCTGCCAGATGTTTAAATGACTAGACCAGAAGGACTCCAGCACTGTGGATTTCCACTTGTGAGTGGCCCAACCATCCCATCCGCCTTCCCTCCCTCAGTGGAGCATAAATGACTCCCTCATCTGCCAGCCTGGGGAACCCAAGGAGGAAGCTAAGATAACATTGGCTAGGGGACAGGGCATATCACCTGCCTCCGCTGCTATAGATACTCCAGGGAAATAGTGGGCAGAGAGCCTTCACCATCTTAGTTATAGAATCACAGAACTGTAGAGCTGGAAGGGACCACGAGGGTCTTCTAGTCCAACCCCCCGCAATGCAGGAATCTTTTTTGTCCAAAATGGGGCTCAAACCCACGACCCTGAGATTAAGAGTCTCATACTTTATCAACTGAGCTATGCCAAGCTACTAACATAGGATACTTATTTATTTTATTGCACTTAAAAATAAGGAACTCATGTCAGCATTCTGCCCCCTCCTTGTCTCTTCACAACCCTTGAAGGTAGGTTAGGTTGTCCTAGTCTGATGTTCTAATTGCCGGAGCATAAAGAGGAGCAAGTGGAGAAGCAAGGGTGTAGCCAGGATTTATGGGGGGGGGGGGGCGTCAACCTCAGTTAAGTATTTTTGTTTGTTTGTTATTGATTTAGCGGGGGGCAGGTTCCCCCGCCCCACTGGCTATGGGAAGAAGCCAGCACAGCACTTGCTGTTATGATAAGGCCTTGCTCTTCAGAATTTAGCATTACAGCACTGCTGGTGAATTCAGCTGGGCTTACACCCAGGTAATGTTGAGAAGACCCTATGGGTGTAAAAAGGCAGAAAAACCTATTTTAAACTGGACATTAGCTATAGATTCTGTCTTCAACATTGGCTTGGTACCTTATATAAAAGCATAAATCAGAAAGAAAGACCACGAACACAGTTCCCACTTAAAATGTGGTGAGGTTGTTTTTCCTTGTCATGTTTCAAGTCACACACCACAGAGGGGGCACTAAATGTCTTCGCCTGATGCTACCTGATTTGTTTCCCACCCGCCCCAAACTCCTATTCAGTAGCTGCAATCTGCACACCTCAACTTAACCACAGATTACGTTTTCAAATCAGATGGAAGCTGGTTTGAGGGGAAATGCATCAGTTCTCAAGAAACTACAGGATACCTATGGATTGTGGCTAATGCCATGTGTGCTTTGGCTTAAAACACCAGCCATGGGAGTGCGCTGGAGCCAGAGTAAATGGTAATGTGAACATAGCCAAAGATTCAAAAGTCCTGTTGATGCAGACTTTTCTGGATCTTTGGGATTTCCAATTTACACGGTCAATGCTTTACTCAATTGTTATTGCTTTAAAGATAAAGGTACCTCTGACCATTAGGTCCAGTTGCAGATGACTCTAGGGTTGCGCGCTCATCTCGCTCTATAGGCTGAGGGTGCCGGCATTTGTCTGCAGACAGCTTCTGGGTCATGTGGCCAGCATGACTAAGCCACTTCTGGCTAACCAGAGCAGCGCATGGAAACGTCGTTTACCTTCCTGCCGGAGTGGTACCTATTAATCTACTTGCACTTGACGTGCTTTTGAACTGCTAGGTGGGCAGGAGCTGGGACCGAACAACGGGAGCTCACCCCATCGCGGAGATTCGAACCGCCGACCTTCCGATTAGCAAGCCCTAACCCATGTCCTGTTATTGCTTTACAACAGAGCAATTTATAATGCAGTCTCTCTCTCCTATATTGCAAGCAATCAGAGTAAAAAATAGAAAAAATAGATAAGCACAGTTTCACTAGTTTGTTCAGTTTGTTTGGACAGCTGAACATTAATAATAACCAGTTTAGATTCATAGCTGCTTGCATGATGATGTATTCAGCAGCAGCATTTCCCCAATTTTGACAGTAACCATTTCATACATTGAAAAGTCTATTGTTTTGAGCTGGGAGGTGTGAGGGGAGGAGAGTATTTTACATATATTATGAGTAATTAGGTGAGAATCACAATCACATTATAAAATACATAGAAATGAGAACGCACATTCAGAGACAGTGAGTTGACATGCCATTATATAAAATACTGCTGTGAAATATGGGCATTTCTATGCTCCATTATAGCCTAGAATAATAGAATTATAGAGTTGGAAGGAGCTCCAAGGATCATCTAGTACAGTGTTTTTCAACCACTGTTCCGCGGCACACTAGTGTGCCGCGAGATGTTGCCTGGTGTGCCGTGGGAAAAACTCGAAAGATTTTTTAAAAAAAGAAGTCAAATTTTCACCCACTAGGCGGGCGCCGGACTGTGTCCACCCTATTTTCCATCCGTCCTGGGTGGGGATCAGATCGGATGGGATCGGATGAGAGCGGACAGGCGGTCTGCCCGCTCTCATCCGATTCCCCATAGAGAGCAGCGGGGCTCTGACATCTCCCTCTCCGCACACAGTGCAGAGACGGAGCTGTCACCCGCCGGCTCAGCAGGGATCAGCAGATCGATCCCCGCTGAGCAGAGAACGGTCCGCAACCTTTTTGTTTGCCATTAAAGAAAAAAATATTAAACCATGCTTGAATGTTAAACCATGCTTCTTTGTGTTTATTTGATTCCTATTCAAGAGAATTATTTTATATATAGTCGATATAGGCACAGAGTTAAATTTTTTAACATTTTCTAATGGTGGTGTGCCTTGTGATTTTTTTCATGAAACAAGTGTGCCTTTGCCCAAAAAAGGTTGAAAAACACTGATCTAGTAGATCACGGGTTGTTCCTGGTAGATCTCTGGCTCCTCAGCAATCTCCTTCCCACCCCACCTCCCAAAACAACTTTGGCTTCCTAAAAAAAGCTCAACAAAACAACTTTGGTCTGACAATGGGTAGATCACTGCCAGATTTTTTATACTGTGAGTAGATCGCAGTCTATTGGGAGTTGCACATCCCTGATCTAGTCCAACCTTTTGCTATGCAGGAATAAGCAGCTGTCCCATACAGGGATCGAACCTGCAACCTTGGCATTATCAGCACCATACTCTAACCAACTGAGCTATCCAGTAAGTGTGGAGTACCGGTATGTTGTTATTTATACTCAACTCCCAGCACTGGTCCTGTTACCTAGGGACCAGGAGAGTTGTAGTCCCAAAACATCTGGAGAACCGAGTTTCCCTATGCCTGATTTAAACAGCTGCAGGATCAACATGTATACTGTATCTTAATCTGTCTTGCGATCCAAATATAGCAAAGGCCTAGTTCAGATAAGCATGAGTTGATGACAGCTGTATGTATGAACTGATACCACTGTATATTGCTTTTGAGGTGCTTTTGAGAGAAAGAGAACATTCATGCTTTTAAAGACTAATTTACAAATCTTTACAAAGACAGTAAAAAAATGTTGCACTTCAACAGTCAGATTTCATAATTCACACTTTAGCTCTTTCAGCTAGAGAACTGTGGAAAGAGGGGTCACAAGGCCCTTTCAGAAAGGTCAGCACAAACAGGTTTGATGTGACAATTCTGCTTCTGTTCATTCTTCAAAAAAATACCACTGCGTCAGCAGAGGTGAGACACTGAAGCCGGCAAATGTGAAAGGTCTTGAAATATTCTGAGTGATTTTAATAGGAAGGTAGACTTTTAAAAGTGTCTCTTCTGGAACCTGAACTGCAACACAATTTATTTGCGTACAACAGTAGCATCGATAAATTATGTGAGAACTACTTCCAATGCCACTGTTTTCACTCATGGGAGCACTTCTGCAACGTAACCAAAGTATGTGGGACCTACAAAAATATTGCTGTATGAAGTGCACCTGTTCAGGATTCCAACCAGCCAGCCGTGCTCCATTCCACTCTTCCTCCCCCAGGTTTTGCCCCCCCCACAGTATTCTGTGCACAAGAGCACGCTCAGGGCTCAGCTGATAGTTCTCCTAACTGCTTCAAGCTGCTTATAAGCTGTTTCCTCCAAGCTGCTTATAAGCTGTTTAGCATGTTATCTGAACAAGGCTATTATTTCTAACACTGTCTGTCTTTTTAGTTCATCCAAATCACCATAGCCAAACCTGCTTACACCAATCCATCTGCATGGCAGCAATGAATGTGGATCAGACTGCTGTTCAAAAAAGGATATGCAGGTTGGAGTCTATGCAATTATATTTAACCATATGCTCAAGCTGCTTAATTGTCGAGGTTGTAAAATCTCTCTCACTAGACACTTTACGGTGTGATCGGTGCCTGTTGTGATAGGCTAAAGTTGCAAAAATATCCCTCCCTCCCAAAATAGTATTACACAGGTACAGAGCAAAGAGCCCCACTTGGCTCAATTATGCTTTAATTGTGCATGGGTTGATGGAGATAAATGAGATTATTACTCTTAAACTACATAGAGCTTTGAGAATCCTAGTACATTTGGAAGGGTGACTTATGCCAGCAACATTCCATCTAATAGTTCACACTTCATGCTTATTATCGATTATTTCCTTTGGCTCTATTACGCTTCCAGCCACATAATTATCTTGCACGTTAACAGTACGGCAGATCTCATAAGAAAGGCAAGGAACGTAATGAATTTAATTCAATAAAAGCTTAATAAAAGTTTACAATACAGACTTGGTAATTGAGTCACTTTATTATTATCCAATTGATATCTAAAAGTGCAGTGCAGGACTCATTAAACCAAATAGTTTTGCAAGTGATTTCAGTGGGATGTATCTTGCACACATTTAATATGATTTATTATTTTTGTCCTGCTTCTCTGTCCATGGAGACACAAAGCTACTAACAAAACTAAACACAGCTTGACATTAAAGCCTGCATTAAAGCATCAATAGTCAACCATCATCAAAAACAATCAGTTCAAGATACCAAGAAAGTTGTGGAACTTCTGGTTTCATGTTTCACTAAGATAATACACAGTGTTATGCACAGTTGCTTGCCAGGAAATCCTACTGGGACTCACTTAGAAAAATGCATAGGATCAGGCTGCACATAATTTGTGGATATTGTTATAAGTTTTTTGGGAGGCAGACCCACCCCCTTAAGCACAATAAATTAATGAATATCAGACTCCAGCTAATATTTGGAGTATTGAAGGGAAGATTCCAGGCCAGTGGAAAAATAGACTAAGCTTCCTTTCCAAGCAAGGACCTCACTTAGGAAAGAGGTGTTGATGACCCACATCAAAGATGAATCCTTGGATCTGGGCAAACAGGGCTGCGAGCCTTTTGGCTCTTGTGGCGATTAGGCATTGTTTGACCTTGTGTGTGGGAGGTAAGGTGTGGCCATCACCTGCCCCTCCATGCTTAAGGGTATTCCGGGTGTTGATCTTGTCCGAAGCCCGGTCGGGGGCTAGGGCCATGTCACAACCCGACGGGAACACCAGAGGGAGCTCGAGTTGTTTCTCATCAACAGGTCTCCCCCTACCAGTGGTTTACCCTTACCAGACTTTCTGCGCAGCGGGCAGGAGTCAGATATAGTCGGGTCCAATCAATGCCTAAGCCAATACCGCTCACATTCTGTAATTCAATAAAGTTGTGGCCAAATTTGCCCAGTAACATAAACCTAATATCTGTGTCCTTGTGTGAGGTGGGTGGTTGCGGGGTCTTGACATGCAAGCTTCCTTTCCAAGCAAGGACCTCACTTGGGAAAAAGGTGTTGATGAGCCACATCAAAGAGGAATCCTTGGATCTGGGCAAACAGGGGTTGTCAATGTGACAGGACGGGGCAGGCTGTGCTCACAGGAAAAATGTGCCTCTAAGAAACTAGGCTTGGGATAGGAGACAGATGGGAAGAATTGCTTGGAGCAGAGGGGTGCTGGGAAGGCCATGCGGTTGAAACCATATTGGATGCTGCCTGAAGAATGCAACCCAGAGATTGGGGACCATGGCTGGCTGCTCTGGACTCAAGCTGGCTGAAGCTGGGAGAGAAGCAAGGTGAGACACTCTGGAAATGTAATGCTTTGAACTCTCTTCCTCTCCATGTAGATCCAGGTGTATAAAGGTGTAAAATAAACCATGTATCTTCAAAAGCTGCAACCTCTGCTGTGCCCTGAATTCACAAAGCCCCTGGGTAAATGCCACAGACCCCTGGAATCTTGTTTCTGCTTGGCAGAGATTGGGGTGGCATGTAACACTTGGGATTTAACACTTGGTACTGAATGAAGGAATATTTGGTTGGGATAGAGGAGAAATAGGAGTGTCATAGAAAATAAGACCATTGCAGTTTTCATGTGTAAACAATGCATGTTTTAAACATTATCAACAAGAATATGTGTGCACACCAGACAATCAAATAAGAATCTAATCAGTTTTTTCTTGAACAAGTGGATATTTTCATCTATACCACCTCCACCAAAACTCCACTTAACAAAAATAGAATCAAATTGCAATAACATGAGCCAGTGCTTCCTTTCTTTTCAATTTCACATTTCCTTTTCAAACCAGAACAACCTTATAGATATCTTTGTTACACTGCTAGCAGCTCAGAATAAGCCCGTTTGTTTACTTGTAATTGGTTTTATCCAATAAAATTGCAGCTGTCAATATTCTTGTCAGTCTCATGCTGCACAGAAAAACCTCTCTTTTTGCTTCTTGCATTCCCTTCCAGTGCTATATACTACTTGTTTAGGGCTAAAGAGATCTCATTACTTCAGTAACGTAACCAAATAAATTGCAAGCCTGTGGAAAACTCAAACTGCTTATCAACGTAAAGTTGTGGGAAGTGACAAATGCTTACTAGCAAGCAAATGACACCAGTAAATTGATAAATGGGCACGTTATTTAGAGCACGTTACCAGTGGCTTTAAAGAAAAAACCAAGTTAGGGGAGCAGGTTTCTAACAGAATGAGACTGTGTATATACAATTTGCTTTTCAAAAACTTGGAGGCAATATTGTAGAGCCATTCTTGCTCATAGTAGTTTCTGCTCAAACTACTTTTTTGGTTTGGTTGTTTGTTTGCTGTGCTTTGCACTTTACCTAGGAGTTTGGAACACACTGTTAGTTCTGTGGCGCAATGAGCCACCTTTTCATTTCCCTCTCTAATGAGACTAGGGCTGGTCATGCATGAAAATAAGACAGAATCAGAATTCTCAAGAATTAGTTGTGTGTGTAAAATCTAAGGAAATTGGGTTTAAAATAAATAAATAAATAACCCAAAGCTTTGTTGTAGGGGAGCCATAGTGCATGTGTTTTTTAACATAGTTAAAACTTGATCAAAGCCTTTTAAAACGGTTCCAGACTCCCCAAGCTGGATCTTGGTAAATCCTGCCCTTCACAGCAACCAAAACACTCTCATTGGTAAAAGTGTGGGAATAGCATCAATGTTTCCCTAAAGTGAACTGCTGAACAGGGACAGGAGCAATTTTAGTCATTAACTCCCTATACGCTGCTGACTACTCAGCCCACCCTGGTCTGCTATTAAAAAACCCCCAACCTATGACATAATTGCTAATCATGTTGTTAATGTAACATGTAGTGTTGGGCCTTAGGATAGCATGCAGAAGACAAAGGGTGCTTTCAGAATACGAACCCAAAAGCAATTATTTTGACTAATGCACTAGCTGCAATGGTCCGATGCATGTATTTCCTGGCTTGCCAAAGCAGAGTTTAGCAGCTGGAACCAGCATCAGGACCCCACAGACTTCCCTTACCGTGGCTCTTCCCTTCCTCAGCATGTTCACCATTTTGATTAGCTTAAACCAGGAATGGGTAAAGCTTTCTCAGCCACAGGGCAACCTTCCTTTTTGGGATTGCATGCCAAGGGTAGGTGGGGCCACAGGCAAAAAGTTGGTGTGATTCTTATCTTTGTTCAGTAGGCTATATTTCAGCCATACAAAATCCAAAGGTATCTACACACACATCCTCCTGGCAGGAGGGAGGGATGTGATCTGGGCATCTCACAACAAGCTGAAATCAGCCTTGTCAATTGTGTTGGAACAGACTGGGCCATGTGGTCATGGGTGATATTATCATAGGAGGTGATCTTAAGTCTTTAGCTTTTCACTGGAAATACTCCAAGAGACTTCCTGTCGATGACACAGCTGATGTGTCAGTTTCCTCTAGT